CCCCAAAACCCCAAAACCCCAAAACCCCAAAACCCCGATTTTCGAAGGGAGAATTGAATTTTAAATTATCCATATCTATAAATTGTAAAAATAAGATGATGCAAAGTAACATTAGAAGAGTCCTCCAGAAGGGCATCAGTAGAAGATACAAGCACCACAGAGAGATCGATGATACTATCAGAGCTACAGGACTTACCAACACCCATGTTGTTAGAAATCCAAGGTGAGTACTTAGTATATCCCCAATTTTCACCAATAATTTCTCATATTATATAGCGTTGCAGAAATCTATGAGTATGCCATGCTTCCTCAACTCAAAGAATCTCATGACAGAAGAGTTAGAGATACTGTCATCAGTTCCACTGGTGCCCTTGTAAATTACTCCGGTCATTTGATGGGAAGATCTCCAAAGGATAAGAGAGTCGTATATGACGAACTCTCCCAGGACCAGATATGGTGGGGAGATGTAAACAAGCCAATCACTCCTCATGGATATGATGCTAACAGAGCCAGAGCTATGGACTACCTAAACACTAGACCATACGTCTTTGTCATTGATGGACTTGCCTCATGGGATCCAGATAATCGTTTCTCAGTCAGAGTATTTTGTAACAGGCCATATCATGCATTATTCATGAAGCAAATGTTGATTAGACCTACTCCAGATCAGATTGATAAAGAGTTCGAAGATGGAGCTGACTTCACTATCATCAACGGAGGAGAGTTTGCAGCTGATCCAGGGAACAACTCTGTTACTGGTGAGACCTCTGTTGCCGTGAATCTTAGAAAAGGTGAGATGGCTATTCTTGGTACCCAATATGCTGGAGAAATGAAAAAGGGTCTTTTCGGTGTCATGCACTACTACATGCCAAAAAGAGGTATCCTCTCCATGCACGCTTCAGCTAATGAAGGAGAGAGTGGAGATATTTCAATCCTCTTCGGTCTCTCAGGAACTGGTAAAACCACTCTATCAGCTGATCCTCACAGACACTTGCTCGGAGATGATGAACATTGCTGGACTGATCAAGGAATCTTCAATATTGAAGGAGGATGTTATGCCAAGTGCATCGATCTTTCGGAAGAGAGTGAACCAGAGATCTACAATGCCATCAAATTTGGAGCAATCCTTGAGAACGTTGCCTTCTGCAAGGACAGCAGAAGAGAGGTAGACTATCACAATGTCAGATTGACTGAAAACACAAGGTGCGCATATCCACTTGAGTATATCCCAGGAGCTAAGATTCCAGCCGTAGGGGGACATCCTAAGAATATCTTTTTCCTCGTCTGCGATGCTTATGGTGTACTTCCACCCGTTGCTAAACTCAACAGAGACCAGGCTAAGTACCATTTCATTTCTGGATACACTTCAAAGGTTGCTGGAACTGAAGTTGGTATCACAGATCCAGTTGCCACCTTCTCTGCTTGTTATGGAGAAGCTTTCCTTCCATTGCATCCATTCACTTATGCCAAGATGCTTGCTGAAAAGGTTGAAAAGCATAACACAAATGTCTGGCTCGTCAACACTGGATGGACTGGAGGATCCTTTGGAAAAGGCTCAAGAATGAGACTTAGCTACACTAGAAGAATGATTGATGCTATCCACGAGGGAGAATTAGATAACACTGAATACAATAAATTCGATGTATTCAACTTAGACGTCCCAACCCACATCGAAGGAATTCCAGATGATGTACTCTGGCCAGAGAACACTTGGGGTGATAAGGATGCCTTCAAGACTCAGCTAAGAAAGCTTGCTGAACAATTCCAGCAAAACTTCAAGAAATACGAAGATGAGACTCCAAGAGAGGTTATCGAAAGAGGAGGACCAACTATTGACTTTTAACTTCAATGAATCCTAGAATAGATTTGCAATTATCCCTAATAAAACGGGGTTTTGGGGTTTTGGGGTTTTGGGGTTTTGGGGTTTTGGGGTTTTGGGG